AAGCTCCAACTAAAATGATCTGGGCCTCTACAGCTCACAGAAATAGTGAATCAGGCTCAAGTGAAAATAAAGGAAATAAATATTCCTAACCTTAAGAGAATATTGCTCATATCAACAAACTCAGGCTTCTGAAAAAAATTGGAGATCGAGACCTGAATCCTATTTTTCAATTACCTAGACTACCAAAGGAAGCTATTTTGGAGTTGGAAGATGAGCTCTTCAAGATCAATTTACCTTGTAAAGTTGATCAAAGTTTGTTGATGAATTTTACAAAGACATTAACCACAGGAGCCACCTGGATGATGATTCATCAACTGGACCAATAAGAAGCTACACTGTAAGCCGAGACAGCAAGAAGAGTGTCAGCAACAAGACAGGATGAATCAGCAGCAAGAACTTATCTACTGGACCAATTAGAAGCAACACTAGAAGTAAGGCCAACAAGAGCAGTGATAAAACAGAGATTAGGAGCCAAACCTTTGAAGAGGACCACAAAGAAGAGTCTGAGGACGCGTTGATCATGTTCATGGAAAAATTAAGGACAGGACGATCCCGGCCAGTAATCCTCTAGGATCATGCCATAAATCATGACCTGGAGGTTCAAGAAACAATGAATTGTATTTTTCGCCAAAGGGGAAATAGTTCCCAAAAGTTAAAATCCCTTCGGGGAAAACAAGAGTTTAAAACAAGGATAAAAAATGATCTTCAAGGATTGGGAATAAATCATGTCCTGGAGACTCAAGAAACAATGAATGAAGCGGCCATGATAAATTCTATCATCAAATGGTAAAAGATGATAGAATCAGGAGTGGATCTGAACCCAACCAGGGAGACCAATGTGCATAATCTCTTATAATTTCATTGCTCCCAGTCAACAAAATGATGCACACAACAAATACAATCTAAGAATAAAGCCAAACAAAAAAGGTATTGAACTCAGGGTATGTCTGCATACTTAAATACATAAGAGTAGGGGGACAAAGGTATTGAGCCTTCAGTGGGGCGCAAGGATCAATGCTGAAGAAAGGAGTAATGGTATAGAGGGTCAGGGGTATTGAATCCTCTTTCTTATCTACAGAACGACATTTATCTCGCTGCAGAGAAAACAGGATCTTAGTCCTGGAGTCAAAGGAAATATATTCGCTCCTGGTGAATGTCATTTATACTTAGATTAACTTTAGTTGATCAGAGCTGAAAACTTTAGAATGGTTTAAGGAATAAAGTCATAATTTCATAAATATCCAGATTAAATATTGCTTGTTCTCCACATGAATTTAAACTCCAGTTTAATTATTCGACGGGATATCTGGATATTTCATTCTAAAGTTTTCAGCTCAGGAATAATCGTTTGTATCCTTATAATGTAAATATACTGTGTGTGCAACCATTCCACTCGATGTTGGCTTTTTCAATAATGAATTCTTTCAAGTCTACAGTAGCTCCACTGTTTACACTTAGTTCTTTCAAATTTTCTTTAAAGGCGAACCTCTAATCTTTTTTACAATCTTGCAAAACCCATAATAAGATTTTTTAATGACAAAATGTATTTACAAAATTATTAACTTTAAAATATCTGGCTCCTCCACGAAGCTCAGATTCAGTACCTCCTTGCACTGTTTACCCACAGTTCTTCTATCTCCACAGCAAGCACTCCCAACTGGTTCACATTCACGCTCCAGGCCTGAATTTAAAAATCAATGTTTTCAAAAATTCACAGAAAATTTAGCTGAGAAACAAGGATAACCATTTTTTTTATTCATTAATTTAGCAAACCAAACAGAACCATTTATTACAATAAGATATTATCACAATTTTTTCTTGATTTATAGGGACTGTTAAGGAAAATGAAACGGGTATAGGATGAAACATGAAAATTGCAGGCGTTGAATGATAAATATAAGACATTTATCTGATGTTTCTTTCTCCAGAAATTGATATAAAACTGTGTCAAATTTATAAGAAGATTCATATATACACAATTTTGTATAAAATTTGTGGTGTAAAACCATCGAGATATTAGTAATAGAGGGGACATCTGGAATTTTAGACTTCTTGTTGTACAGCCACTGTACACAATGACCCGATCAGAAATTCTACCTGGGGGGATCATAATTTGTAGATCAGTGTTTTAAGACATTATTGTTTGAAAGTGAAGCCTACAATATTCAAGCAAAGAAACAAGCCCATATGATTTTTGTATAAAAATGAGACATGACAAATAGAGAAAAAATTAAATCCTTCTCCTTAATAACATCTTGTTTCTTATCAAATTCATTACTTCTGAAATCTACATTGTGCATTAACTCTTAGGAATATAGGTTTCTGACTTGTAGAATGAAAAGCAATTCTGAACTAATTGTAGATCAAAATTAGGTTAGACTTAATTTTAAAGTTACTAGGTTTTTAGGGTTCTTCGCACCCATCTTCTATTTAAATTGTGATTAAGTTCTTTTCGTTGTGTGCAGTAGGAGCTGCAAATGTTTTTGAAAAGTTTATATTTGTGCATTGCTTCATGATTGGCATTCTTTAGAGTAGATATCACTTTAACCCTATTCCTCAAAAAGTATTGGTCTGAGGCTGTTGAAATTTTCTGACTTTTTCTACATACCCAAAGCCCTCCCTAAACTGGGCTTTAATACTGACTGCCTGAGTCTTCAGGCACACTGCCTGAATGACTGCTTTTTCCTGTAACACACTAAATCTTTGTTTTGACCCACTTCCACTTGTCAGATTTTGATAAAATTTAGCTTTTTGGAATCCCCCCGACATTTGGTTTCTTTTCATATCCCTTTTCCACGTACTGCACCTAATAATAACAATGATCAGTGCAGTTGATTAAGCTAAATACACACGTCACGTGATAGCGTACATTTTCCTCCATTTGTCCTGACGGGATACGCAGAGGTGGGAGGAATATAAACAAACCCAGTGCAGAAGTTGAAGGGAAAGGACTAAAGCTCTGATTTGATAGTCCTACATATATTCGAAAGTAACAAGTATTCTTGTGTTTTAAAATCATTATTCATGTCTACGATAACAATATATCTTATTATCCCCCCTCCCTAATAATTGATGTATTGCCCCTTAATTCTTTGTTTTTTATCTTCCCCCACTGCAGTACACATATTTGACGCATTGAATATGGTGGTTCCTGGTCTATATATTTCTTGCCTTATGCAAAGATGCCAATGTCCGATTTACCTCGATACCCTTAAAATGTTTGTCCAGTCAAGTTTGAGTTCAATCTTAAAATTTTTGTTTTCGAAAACAGGGATTGAGTTTTTGCCACAAACTCCAATTTTCTAGTCTCTATAAAAATCTAGTTAGATATTTCAAACTTTTTATTTTTTTGGATCAAATATTTAAGGTTTTCATCATCAGGTTGAAAAAATAAAGGAATTAGAAAATTTGAGTTTTTGGTGAAAACACCAGATTCTTTCTAGTTTCATATTATTTTTTTTTAACAAATTGGAAATTTTTTAGTTTTATATTTTATTAAGGAATATTAAGGAATTAGTTTTACATTAGTTGTATAGTTCCCCCCTCCCATTAAAGGCATTTAGGCATTTCTGAATGTTTTTCCAATTTTTAAATGAACATTTAATTTTTACTTTTTAAAATCTATTGTTTTGATTGTTTTTTCCACGTTATAAATGTTCACTATTCATATGTTTATCTATTTATTAAAACAAGACATTCGTATACATACATGTTCCCTATAGCCGGCAAAACGACTGGACCAAATGGGCTGAGATTTTTTGTGGACACTCATAGGTAGCCTGGGGGTTACAATACATAGGCTTAAAAAATCGAATTTTTTAATAGCATTTTTTTCAAAATGTTTTTTTTCCTCGGGCACAGGCCCTTTCACTAGTTTCAAATATACCAATCAATAATTTGTTCTTCTGCCATAACTTCATGTAAAAAAGACTCTCAAATCAAAATCAAAATTTTAAATTGTATTTTTTTAATTTTCATGTTTATTTTTAGTACTTTTTGTTAAGAAAAACAATTATTTTCCTTAATTCACAACTAATAAAATAGCACGTTTAACATCTTAATAACCCTCTTTTAGATATAGATTTACAATTGCAGCTCTGAACACACATAAACAATAGATAGATACATACAGAGAGTCCAATTTTATATGGTATTTAAAATTAGTGCTATTCTTTAAAATTAGCCCAATGTTTAATACTTGATCAGATTGCGTACACTTTGACAGTATGTTTACATACAGTTCACAATATACTATCAAATGAACTACCTTACAACTGTTGTTTCCTTCCTTTCATGAGAATGTTAAGTAGCGTACTCAGGGAATAGGAATAAAAGCGTACTTCATGCAATATACTGTGTACTGTATGTTTAATATGCTTGAATATCCTTATGGACAAATTATACAGTTTTTTTTAAATCAGAAAACTGTTGAGGAAGCTCAGTTTTGGCTGGTGAAAATACAGTGCACGCTGTACACACATCAGAGGGGCCCAGATGATATAAAACTCAAATGTTTGATGATTATTTGATACTAAACCACTTTAATTTCTGTACAAGGTACTAATAATGCAAGGAAAGTTAATGGCGGTCGCATATACTCTGCGTAGTGCGTACATATTGAAACCAGTTCTCTCTGGGCGGACTTTGTTAACAAGAATAGATGCATTAGTGTTCGTTCAGTATTTGATAATTTTAAAAATTCACATATAGTTTTCTATGTACAGAATATTTTATAGATTACTTTTGTGGAAATGAATTCCATGTCAGGCTGTGACATCCGTCTCGTGTTTACTTTTCCGCCCAAAGACAGTACACTGCAGTACAAAAAATGAGTACACCTCTGAAATATCTTTCCTTGCATTAGTACCTTGTTTCTTATAACAAACTAAAGCTCTCCATGCATACTTTGTTGTCCTCAAAATGCAATTTTTATTTTTAGTGGGACAGGGTATACTGAATGAATGATATTATTTGGAGTTTCAACTCTAGTCTATTGTATTTTCCTGATTTCCTATAGAAGGTTCAGTTCTTTGGTTCGACTCATTACAAATAAACTAAATTAAACAAGATTTAAGTATATTTACTATTTTCTAATTTTTTCCTCGATCCATAACCCTAACCCCCCCCCAAAAAAAAGAAAATCGGGGTTTGGTAAGACATTACCTTCATGTCAATAATCTGATAAAGATTAGAAACCCCTTTTGGTGGCCATGGAAGTAAAATTGAAGGATAAAATCACGTTTTCAACAAAAGAATGTAAATTTGTGAAAATAAGGTTTTGACCTATTTATTTAGTTATTTTTAAACTTAAAATAAACTACCCCTCATCTTCTCTGTGTTAAAATAATATGAGAAAATATTAACTTACATCATTACATAACTGAATACATGATGGGGTAGTTGTTGTCGTTGTAGTCGTTGTAGTTGTGGTAGTTGTTGTTGTTGTTGCTAAAATGTGAAAACCAGAAAACAATTTAATAGAAAGACGACATTATGGCAATACTTAAGCATTTTGATTATGTTTCAAAGCAAATATTTTTACTTGAAACTTAGCAAAGCATTATTAAGTGAAATAGGTCTATTTACACTATACAGTAGCTATGTCTAATGTTCATTAAACTAGATTAAGTCCTAACTTGTGTTTAAAAGTCGTCTTCCTATTTCAGAGTTTTCTGGTTATCACTGTAAAAATTTATAAAAAACGTAATAAAAAGGATTTATTAGATTATTAGCAAGCGCGTAAAAAAGAATAGATCATCACCAACATTAATTCCTTTGATTCGATATGTAAAAATAATGTTCCATACTGTTTATTATGTTTTAATTGGCAAATTTCTATTCAAATTATGAATTGGACAGCGACTTAATTGTTTATTTCTTAAATACCAATAAGATACTTATACTTAATCAATCTTAATAAATGTGTTTCATTTTTCATATGTAAATCTCAAAATGTGATAATAGATAATTAATTGCAAATTTACTGCTTTTTTCAATTTTTTGGGGTGGCCAAACAAATTGTTTTTGCACGCTTACGCTTGCCCTGAGATATTGCTTAAGTCCGCCCCTGTTCATGCATGATATAAACCCCTACCTCCAATACATTCTGATACACCATCAAAAAAGCGCACACATCGACCACCCTGAAATTTTTTAATTGTTTTTTAATATTATAAATGTTTCATAACAATGAATGGTTACAAGTATGTTCCTCTCTATGTTTCATAAACAGTGATGGCTGCCAGTATGTTCCTTTCTATGTTTCATAAACAGCGATGGCTGCAAGTATGTTCCTCTCTATGTTTCATGAAAAGTGATGGCTGCAAGTATGTCACTCTCAATGTTTCATAAAGAGTATTAATTACGAACTTCAGGACTAATTAGAAAATTCAAGAATAATGAATCATTTTGAAAAATTTAATAAGGCTAATACAAAATTTTCCTGCAGAAAATACTAGGTTTTTCAAGTATTAAGCGTTTATTTTGGCCTTAAAGCTTGGATAGAATCTTATTTGATCAGGGTTGTTAATCGTTTTTGAAAACGATCGTTCAACGATAGTTTTTTTGTTTCATTTTTCAATCGTTTTCAAAATTGATTGTTTCGTTTGTGGAAAAAACTATAGTTTTGAACTTTTAAAAAACAAATAGCAGTCATTTTAGAAAAAAAGTTATTGAAAATTATGTTAAAGATCGTTAACAAAGATGTTGTCATTAACGATCACTAATGAAGGGTTGTTGTTAACAATCGATAATGAAATGACAAACTTTTTAAAAACGGTCATTTTTGGAAAAACTATCGTTTTTGAAAAAATATTACATGCAACTTTAAATTGGATGTCGTCTTACATGAAGTTAAAAAGTTGTGGGGGAGAACTTCTTGATATTTTCTTAAAAATTACTTATGTCAAGTACAGATGGCCTTCAGGTCGGTTTCCTCTCTTTGTTAATGATTGTAAACAATGAGACGTCATTAACGTTTGTTAACAAAACAACGTATTTTATAAAACCGATCGTTTTAAAAACAACCAGTTTTAAAAAAAATGAAAACGTTAACATCCCTATATATATATGGTACAGTTGCTTACCACCCTCAGTTGAGAACCTCTCTCATAGTGGTCTTGGCGGCGTCAAACATTATAGAAATCCAACGTATAGAAACCGCTACGTATAGCAACATGGCCGTTTATTATATTTTTGAGAAATTAAATAATCAGTGTAAAGTAGATATAATTTTCATAAAATCCTTTATTTAAATGGTAAAACGGAACTTTATGAAATTATTTTCGCATTACTGGAGAACTTTTTTATAATTTTCAGAAATTTTTTTTTCTAAAAATAAAACTCTAGATAGCATTTTTATAAAATATTTTTTTAAATAGTAACATGCAAATTTACGTATAACCACATAATCATTCATTTATGTTGTCAGTACATAATAAAATCTGGTGGACCTTAAACACAATAGAGAGCAGTACAAATGTACATATTAAACTATTTTGCTCTTTTAATGTCTAGGGTATGTTAAATAAAATAGAAATTATGATAATGATAATGATAAGCTACAATGTTTTACAAAAACGTTTAATTCTCAAAAATATAAAAAAATTTCTCCCGGAAACAATATGCACAACAATATGGGTTTTTTACTCAACTAGCTGTTAGGACTGGACTTCTGTGAAAGATTCCTCTCAATGGGGCTGTAAGGCTTACAACTACCCATTTTGCAAAAGGGCTCCAGCTCTGGGGTTTCCTTGAAATTCCCCTTAGTCAAAAAGACTATAACTCAAAGGAAAACAGGGAGCAATTCCATATACCCTTCCTCCAACAAACCTCATTATCTCTCTAATAATAATTAAAAATATTGTAAAACTTGAAATAAATTACTAAAGTTAAAAAATCTTATATGATATGTGAAGCTCTGTGTGACCCTTTCTATGTTTCAAAAAGAAATTTGGCTGCAAGTATGTTCCTCTTATACATTTCTGGCTTTCTCACTCACTTGTGGTCAAGTCTATATTAGGTATCACTATACTAAATCAAAGAATTATTTAAAAAGACGATATCGAATTCGTCACTGAATTCCCATGTTTTTGGGACACCCTGTATGTTATCATTCTGAGTTATTGAGACTTCTATAACATTATCAAATTTAATCAAACAAATAGTTTTTTAGATTTCAGATTAAAAATTAAATATTTACCGTTTTGACACACATCTTAATGTTTGTCATGCTGAACAGGATATCGAAATTTCCTTATACGCCCTTCAAATTTGCACTTAAGCATTTTTTTCTAAATGATTATCAAGGGCGTATACAGAAATAAATGTAGGGGGGGGCAAGATTTGCGCGAAGCGCAAAAATTTTTTTTGCCCCCCCTAGGAGCTCCTAGGGGGGGGCAAAATTCGAACTGTAAATTCATAACACTTGGCTTCTTGGATATCAGGCATAAGTATAAGATACTTAAAAGGCACACATACAGTCCAAATAATTACCTTCTAAGCATTGTTTCTAAAAAATCGACATTTTATTATACTTTTATAGGTATATTTAGTATTTAAACTAGAGATAGTAAAAGACATTTTTGAAAATAAAAACTTAACTTAAACTTAAATTCTATGAGATGAAAAGAAGTACAAAGGTCCAGAAAATAATTATGACTTGTAAAAGTTTCTGTTGTGAAAAAAAGTAGGAGTACAATTGCTGCAATCTAAGAATGAATGATAACTCAAGGCTTATAAATAACAGTATTTGATTCATGATAATTATTAATCAGCAATTCACAGATACCAGTCACAACGGCAACTTTTAACAGACTCACATCACTACTAAACAAGACTAGCATATAATGTAAAGTGTGTGAGCTGTACAAATGTATGCAGACTGTGTGTTCTCTGAACCCAACTAAACTCTGTGTACTCTGTGAACTTAAAAGTTAAAATTAGGTTAGGTTGGTTAG